TTATAATAGGTGGTAGTTAATTAAGAGAGAGCCCTTCCTAAAAAAAAAAGTCAAGTTGCCAAGGCAGGTGAAAGCTWTTGCAACCCTCTGATTTGTTGCCTCATTCCTCCAGTCAGCAGCATTGCCTTTTAGCCTTTAAACGTCTTAACTCAACTCCTGTTTGTTTTATGCTGCTGGCTCTCACAGTTCAAACCAGATTAATGAAAATCCTCTTATTTATCCACTGCTTTGAGATGCTGCCAGTGTTTGTTTCTAACAAGATGGAGTGTTTATTCCTCATTTGCAGGTTTAGGTTTGAAACTAATGGGTTTCCTGATGACTTTGAGGGTTTTTGGTGTTTGCTCCTGTTTTAACCATTTCTACATGCATGTCGAATGTGCTCAGTCCAGCTGGCTGAAAAATGCTCACACTGAGGAGCCTTTGAGCTTTCACAATCATTAACACGTGGGGACTGCAGTTTCGGATTTTTAACTGGCACTTTCACGTCCTCTCAGGTGTTCAGGCCCGGGCGGTGTCCTTGGATGAACCGGCTGTCCTCCCTCGCCATCGCCTCGCCAGCGAGGGTCACTCTGACGACGCTTCTGATGTCCCCGTCCGTTCCCCCGTCCGCTGCGTCTCTCCAGAGTTTGTCAACGCCATAGCGATGAACCCTGGAGGGCGGCCCAAAGAGGTAGAAAACAAACGTCGAGTGAGTGACTCGTGTCAGCTTCGGCTTGTGTTCACATGTCGTTTTCCCCGCCGCTCTTTAGAGGAACATGCACAGCTACCGGGAGGCCTTCGAGGAGATGGAAGGAGGTCCCATCAGTCCAACACCCACAGCTGGTGGTGAGGCGTTTCCCCAAACCCCCGCCTTCCCCATCTCACCGCAAACCCCTTACTTCAATTTGTGTAAGTCCCCCATCCCCCTCGGCTGACTGACAGCACTGTGGAGCTTAGATTCATCAAATTCATTGTTTATCTTATTTTAAAGAAAGGAAATATTTCTGCTAAATCTGTCTCTTCATAAAAATGACCTGTAAAACACTTAAACAGAAGAGTGTCAGGTTAATCCAGATATTTACAACCAGGTGAAATGAAAGCACTGATTTTTAAACCTGAAGAAACAGAAAGGATGAGGTGAAAATTACAACACTTGGAGGTTAAAATTATACAACATACAGTATTTACTTTTTTCTTTTTTATTTCTCATAAGTCTCTGTATTCACTTCTTTCATTTGTAATAAATCACAGCTCAAAGATAAACCTGCAAAACTAGATTATGAAAAAAAAAATACAAACCAGTAAACTTGTTGTGTTTATTCAATAATTATCCAGTAAATTCCACAGTTCGACACCAGACACTGATCTTAATTTACTTCCTGTTTCCTTCACATGTTTAGTCTTAAAGACCAGAAACATTGGGTGGAATGTTTTTACAACAAACAGACTCTCAAATGACAAATAAATCAAACAAAAATGGAATTTTAGAATTTAATTGCTTCTTTCACAACATGATTTTTTTATCCTCAGCTGAGCACAAAATATAGTTAACTGGTAACATTTACCAATTAACTGCAAACAGTTTTGCAATTTCCTGCGAAACTTGTGAAAGGCGCATGYTGAGAACTGATTAGTGCACGTTAAGGCAGATTTATGTCTCTTTTTGATTAAATTCTGAAGTTAGGTACCCATCTCCCCAACATAAACATTCACACCATCCACCAGTTAAAGGTGGAGCTTCTGTGCAAAGAATTTATTGGGATTCTTTGGTAAGTGGAAGATGCACAACCATCTGTTGGAGTTCCACTGTCCCTCACCGTCAGCCAGACTCATCCCTGCCCTTGTTTTTTTTTTCTTTTTTTTATTATTGTTGTTTTTTTCCCAGCACTTATCACTGCGCTGCACTGCTTTGGTATAAGAGCCACAGAAGAGCAGCACGTTTATTTTTAAAAATGATAAATCCGTAGCTTTTTGTTGTTATAAAACTTTGAAAAGTCCACAAATGGAAAGATTAGACCATGTTTTGTTTTGTGCAGCTGCTGCTCTCTGTGTTGCTGTTGCTGCCTTGTTTCCCTGCAACCAGCGTCCTGCTTGTTTGATTCTTGTGTTGCACATTTGTGCTTGTGGACTAATTTCTTATATGTATGCTCACCCTGGAAGGATAGACATATTAGGTGGTTGTATGCAAACTTTGAAGAAAATGATTTGTTGTAAATGAAAGAGTCACCATAWATCCAACGTTTGTAGAGAGTAAAAAATAAATTTGGTCTGAACCTACTTTTAATCATCAAGATAGTAGTTAAAACCTTTGAAAAATCATTTTGATACATAAAAAAACCTTGGATCAGCTCTGCTTTGACACCAACTCATGTTTGAYGTGCACCTTGGTAAAGTTTGGATCTCCTGCATGTTTCAAGCCTCCATCAGAGCATGACGCATGGGAATCCACCACTAAATATGTCAGTTTTTGTGTGTGAACCCATGTAGACGTCTTGGCAGCTGATATTACTCTGTTCCATTCCTAAGACTTTAAAATCGAATTAGATTGTTTTTTTTTTAAAGGGACAACATTTGATGATTTTATTTTGTGTTTTTACACAAGTTAAGATTCTCGTCCGATAGCAGCTGTCAAGACGGTGGCAATCTTTGAAGACACGTGGTCATTTGTGTCCAATGTCTCTTTCAGGCCGGTCTCCTCCTGGTCTCGCCAAGACTCCACTGTCAGCTCTGGGCTTGAAGCCACACAACCCGGCAGAAATCCACCTCAATCAAACAGGCTCAGGTTGGTTGGGACAATTAGATGTTTTTTTAAGGAAAAATCTGAAACYCAAGCAAGGTTAAAAAAAATATTTTGCACTTTAATTAATGAGCAAATATTGTTATCAGCTGCAGGCAGTAACAAAAACTTGATTAAATTAACTTTTTTTAAATACACTGTCCAGCTACATCATTAACGTAATCTTACCATTATTGGTTAAATTCTAGTAAAACAATTTGCAATATTTGTGTCTCCAATGATGCCGTACAGATGATGAGAGCAGTGAGGGTGAGGAAGGTAAGACTGTTTGTAATGCCAGAGAACTCAGATGGCATCTGAGTTTGTTAGYACTTGCCACCTCATTTAGCTTAAGATCTCACTCAAGCCGTGTTTCCATCCAATTTTAATGCAAATTTTGAGCRAACTTTTAAAATGSTGCAAARAAAGTGTGTTTCCATCAACTGACTTGGAGCGAAACAACCAGGCTAYGTAACATGTAATTATGTCAGACGTTGACGTTAYGCWTGGCTGTAGTAAACAGGAAGTAAACTCRCAAACTCTTCACGTTACGGGAATATCTGGTAAAACACTGGCAGCGGGAGGAGGGGCCAACTGCAGCCGCTACAATTATTGTACAGTGGGAACAGCTGATCGAGGTAAATGTTTGCTACCTCAGAACTTATTCGGCAAATGTGTTTCCACCTCCCCTTTTGCGCATTAACTCTTTTCCGGAGAATCCAAAAAGTACTGAGCGTAAAAATGTTTTTGCGAAATTGAGAAAGTTTTTGCGAATTTTGTCGTTTCCACCCACCTTTTCTAATGCAAAAACCATTGATGGAAACACGGCTTCAGTAGCTGTGTTTCCATTGCAAACGTGCGCAAAACTTTGTCGATATTTTGTTAATGTCGAAAAAACAGTTTCGCAACTGCAGTGTTTCCATTAAGTAAGAAATGCTATTAAAGTCACGCGTGAATACGTTTGTCCTCACGATAAGTCATTACAAACATGGCGATAATGGATGTAAACACATAGCATGTTGCTACCGCGACACTAGCGCTCATCATCAGAGGAGACGTCGGCGTCTTTTATCGAGGCTTTCCAGMGACAAGYCCCTACTTGGGAGTGGCTACGTATGCTGTGTTTTTGGGAAATTGTGGTCGGTGAGTTTATTTCTTTTACTACTTCTGTGATATTACTACTACTTACTTCCTGTTATCTTCTTCRTTGTCATCTTTTTTGCCAGTAGAAACAGCCGGTTGTTGATCACGTGACTCCCGTGACGCGAAAAAAGTGTTTCCATTGCAGTTTTACGAAAAACGCCAATTTCGATACGGCCGAAAAACCACCTCATCCTAGCACAAAAACATTTTGTCGAAAAACATAATTTTTTTCCCAAAATTGACGTGTTTCCATTGAACAAATTTATTTTCGAAATTCTAATTTGCGCATTTTCATGGTCAATGGAAACGCAGCTAGTGATCCATGTGCACCAAAAAACATTTTAGATTCATTTCTTCTCCTAAAACATCGCATACATTCTTTGAAGAGCAACGATCGCCCTCATCAACACGCTGCTCTTTGCGTCACAAATCAAAAATCACTGAATTATAGTGAACAGAATGAATTAGTGAGGCTCTTTTTTTACATACAGCTCCAAGGAGCTACGTAGAGTCTGTGGCSAGGTCGGCAGCAGCAGGCGGAGAGCTGTCCACGTCACCTCGAAGTCTTAGCCCCACTGGAGACAGCAAGAGTCACCCGAGGAGTCCAAGTCCCCCCACCCAAACACTAAACCCACCTTTGTCCAGCAGCAGTCCCATCCAGAGCTCACAGGGGTGAGTCGAACACCTGCTGCTTTCTTGTACATCTACCTGGTTTAATTTAGGATTAAGAGTTTTGAACAGAACACCAGATAAAGTGGCTTAGCTAGCTAATTAATSCAAGTCAGTCAACATTTTTTCTTTCTTTATTTTTAGGGATCCTCACTTAACTGAAAGCAGCACATCCTCCCAACCGGCATCTGATTCTGGGTTCTACCCCCAGCCCACWCACATCCCATCCAATCAAAACCCGAATCCTTCCACTTCCTCCTACCTGGACTCCAGCTCTCCAACCTCTTCCCGCCTCGGCTCCACAACCCCCACACTGTCCTATCTTGGTCCCAGCAGCCTGTTGGGGAGCTATCCATCATCTGATCCCAGCCCACCTGTCCCAGAGCCATCCAAGATGGCTATTGGCTATGGAAGTCCCCATCCTCTGCCCATCGTCCATGGCTCTGTCCACAGTCCCATCCTCCTGCAACACGTGGGGGTTCGACAGGTTGGGTCCAACCAGCTGATCCAGAAATCACCAGCTAATGGTTTTGAAGAGATCATGGCAGGGTTAGGTGGGAGTCCCATCCTTGGTCGCCGTCTGTCACAGGGTACTCAGAGCAGCCCGGTCCTCAGCAGACAGGCCTCTCTGGGACAGGCGTCTCAGCACAGCCCAGTCCTCAGCAGGCAGCCGTCCTTGGGTCAACCCATCCAGAGCAGCCCCGTGCTCAGCCGACAGCCATCCGTCACACACCCTCAAGGAAGTCCAGTGTTGGGCCGTCACCCRTCCGTGACCCAGATGTCCCAGAGGAGTCCCAGTTTAGACCGCCACCCCATGCACAGCGGTTACACCACGCCAGATGAGAGACACGGGAACCTGTCAAGACAGAGCAGCTCCTCTGGCTACCAGGGACCACCCACCCCCTCCTTCCCCGTCCCCGCTGCTGGCTTCCAGGATGGTGGGGTGTTGGGGATGGGTGCGGGTTTCAGGCAGGGGAGCCCAGCTTCTGTTTTCCAGCCCCAACTCCCAGAGAAGAGGCGCATGTCCAGCGGCGACAGACCAAACGGAGGACTGTCCTACGGGACGCTAAATGGGAAGATAGTGTCCCCGGTGAATGGAGGAGGTACTTCAGGCTACTTCCACACCTTGTCGGACTTCTCACGGTTCAATATACCTGGTGAGCAAGTTTGTCTAGTGGAGAAGTGAGATTTATTTGTCCAATCTGTGTGGATTTATAATATCTGAATTCAGAAATAATTTTTCAACATTTGATTTGTTGGAACATTTAAATATTTTTTCTATGAAAAGAGAAAAAAGAAAAAAAAGAAAGAGCTGAGAGTATTTAATTATTTTTGTCTGCAGATGGAAGCCCAGAGAGCAGGCTGAATGTTAAATTTGTTCAGGACACGTCTAAGTTCTGGTACAAGCCCGACATCTCCAGGGAGCAAGGTAGGCTGCTTTAAGACTTCAGTTCAATTCAAATTCCAAAAAACTTTATTGATCCCGAAGGGAAATTAAATAAAAGACTCTGTCCAAAATAAGTATCAAAAGATGGCTATGTAGGGTTCTGATTTTCAGAGCTGTATCTTCTTCTTCTTCTTATTATTATTATTATTATTATTATTATTATTATTATTATTATTGTTGTTGTAAGCCATAATCGTGAAAATTTCAAAAAATAAAAGCTTGAAATATGTCAGTCAATGATTTTCACTTTCTGAAGTGACAAAATAAAACTTAACTTTTCCATGATATTAATTTGTTTGAGCCGCACCTGTAAAGACAGTTTTAAAAACCTTTTCTTGCTTTCGTACATTTTCCAGATAAAAACGGGACCTCTTTTTGTGCTGACATCAGCAGAGATGTTGACAGACTAGAACATTTTTCATGCTTTTATTTAAAAAAAGCAAAGCCTTTAAACAAATTTTAAGGTCACGTTTGTGTAACCGACACGCAGAGAAACAAGCCACGCTCACACGTCACCACTTTGTAAAACACATGCAGAATAATGAATCCGCATGCAGACTTGTGATGAAGTCAGCTGCCAGCTGTCTCGCTGTCTCGTTTTTTTTTCTTCTCTTGACTCATATCTTAAACACGTGCACAACTGCAATGACATCAGACACAGAGGCAGTTTCTACTCAGTGCGGYGCAACCCAGAGTGAAAACCACACCATATGTAGAGAATTACTGGATCTCTGCATCACTCGTCTCATCCATCTTCTTTGCTTAAAGTGTCACATATGAGGAGGCCGAAGTAGAACTCGAAGTAACGGATCTTTAAACAATGGAGTGTCTGAAACAAAGTGTCATATTGGAAACTGAAATCCTAATGAAACACAGATGGACTGAAGGTTTTTAAGGTTATGCTTCACCTCCTTTTTTTCCTTTTTTTAACCTTCAACATGGTATTTTTTAAAACACATCATGTCTGCTTTAAAAAACAAACTTCGCTTTTTTTTCTCCAATTTTACATCATTTTTTTTGTTTTCAAACTGACATCACAAAAATAATTTGAAGCATCTGTTAGTTGTGTGACCAACACCCTTATAGCCAAAAATAACAAACAAAAATAAGCTATCCTGCAAACTGTTTTCTGGTTCAAACAAAATCCCACTTTTAAACTGTTCCCTCCATTTTCTATAACTTTAAACACAGTAGGTCTAAGTCTTCCACGCCTTCCTTTTTTCCTTTGAACCCAATAATCAAAGCAACATCTTTTGCATTGCAGCTATCAACCTGCTGAAAGAGCGAGAGCCGGGAGCCTTCGTCATCCGAGACAGCCACTCGTTCAGAGGGGCGTATGGTTTGGCCATGAAGGTGGCTTCTCCACCTCCAACTGTGCACCAGAACAAAAAAGGTAGGAGGAAGAAGAGCAGGTGTATTAATAACAAGGTCCCTGCCTGCCCTAAAGTCATCTGCATTTAAAGGACAGAGCATGCAGTTACTACCTTTTTACTTCTATTTCTGGACTCAAATATTCTAAGAAGTACCGTATTTATTCAAGTATAATACGTAAAATTAAATCCATAAAATCATCCATAAAGTTGGGGGGTAGTACTATACTCTGATAAATATTTTTACTTGTGTATTTTAACTGAAATATCGGCTTCATTCACAAAATCCCTGAGTCCGGAAATGAGACCGCGTCATAAAAAGCAGTTGAAACGAGCTTACCTGTGACATTCCTCCGTGCTTCTGAGCGAGATAATAACAGATCCAGGCAGGCGACATGATGTGAAAAAAGGGGGAAAAAGGCAGTCCTGCAGCTTAGTAATGATAACGAACTAATGACATTAGTGTGTGACTGGGCCGCTGCTGGAACAACAACAAACACATGTTCGTCTGTAATGGCTGCCATCTACCGGTGTTCTGAAAAAGTTTGTATTCCTGAAAAAAGTTTCCCCACCAGAGGGGGCGCTCACGAGTAGGAAGTAATCTGCTTTTCCCCCACAAGATGGTCCAAATCTCATGTGAAGTCTCTGACTTTTGTGTTGGCGCCTCCTGGTGGACTCTGTGTAAAATGCCAGAATTCATATGATGCTGCTACAGCTGATATATATTTGTTGTCAAAATACCTTTTAGTACATATGTTGTTAAAATAAAATGAACAGTCCAATGATCATTTTACTGATATGTATAAAGACTGCAAAGGCTGAAAAATCTTGAAGTCTGTATGAAATTGGAGGTAGTTTGAAGATTAAATTTTTTATGCTTTTTAAGCTCAAAAAAGGGGGGGGGGTCGTATTATACATGAGATCGWATTGTACACGAATAAATACGGAATGTATCAACAATGTCTAAACATGATTTCCTCTTTGATATTTACTATATAATTTGTTTCAGTGATCAACAACAAAAAGAACTTTACGTGATCTTAACCTTTGACCCCAAATTATTTTCAGACCTGTGTTCAGCCAAGAACAATTACCATATGTATTTTTACTGCAATCAGTAGCTCTGTTCAGGAGCTACAGTGCACACAATAAAGTATGACGGACACCCAGTAACGCACAGATGGGTAACCGTGCCAAGGTCACGTTTAGAGGTTCAAGTAGGATTAATGTGGTCTGAAACTTTTACAGTCATCAAATTTGCGTCGTATCGTACAAAATAATTTATTTCCTTTTTTAACCAGGTATTTTAATTGTACCATCGATGAATTAGAAAAAAATGCCAGTTTTTTATTACCAATCAACAAAAATGACCTGGACCTTTGACCTTTGATGCCCAAATCTAATCATACTGAGTACTACCCTGATAGAGTTACTATGCTTATTTATAAGTAAAAATATAATTTAATTCAGAAGATATCATGCACACAAGACCACCCATGATGGACAGACACCACACTAACACAGAGAACAGTATACYTCCGGCCCCCAGTGGGCGGAGCCATACTAATAATTGCATCAGGGACGTTAGAAACACTACAAGAATAGGTTTAATCTATCTTTTCTTTGTTTTGCAAGAAGAAAATAGAGTTAATATGTTAATGCCACAAATGTAATGTCTAAATGTTAGTTTGACCTTTCATGTGTCACAGGCGACACCACCAACGAGCTAGTGAGGCACTTCCTGATCGAGAGCAGCCCTAAAGGAGTGAAGCTCAAAGGTTGCCCCAACGAGCCTTATTTTGGTAAGCTCTGTTTTTGTTCCACATCCATGCAGCTTTGTAATGTTTGAATTGCAAACTCTGCTGTTTATCTGTCTAACTCTGCTGCAACTCTTTTCCCATTTGTCAGGTTGTCTGTCTGCTTTGGTCTACCAACACGCCATCACACCTTTGGCTCTTCCTTGTAAGCTCATCATCCCGACTGCAGGTACGAAGTGTCTTCAGTCTGAAGAGATTTTATTGTTGTTGTTTTATTATCTGTTGACCAGTGTTGGTTTACAAGTGACATATCATGCAAAATCTACTTTTTTAGCTACTAAATACATTTTGTTGTGCACTTGGAGTCTATAGAAAGCAGAAAAGTTGAATATAGTCCCTCCTGGTTCTGGGAATATATCTTTATATTCTGTTTAGGTCAAAGTTTTCTCTATTTTCTATGATGTTTTCTGAAATATTACATCAAATTATGTGTTGGAATTACCGCATAAGGTCTTGTCCTCATCTTAATTCTTCTCTGGTTCTGGGTCAGACTCTGGTTCTGGGTCTGACTCTGGTTCTGGGTCAGACTCTGGCTCCAACCTGTAATACTGGATGAACAAATCTTCTGTTGTTGACATGTTTTAATTACATTATAAATAAAACATTTCTGTAAGCTAGAAAACCTAAACCCCTCTCTCAAACCGGGGTGGGTCGGTCTGGAAGCCGGAGGGGGGCGGAGCTTGAAGCTTCTTAAAGGAACAGTAACAAAACCAGCTGCTTTGAGACACAGAAGAAAAGTGGTGAAAGAAGAGCTGGTAAAGTTAGAATAAGGAGGAATTCAGACCAAAGCTTTGTAGTTCCACTTTATAAAGACCCCAACTGAAGGATTTAAAAGTGAAAAGGAAGGATTTAAAAGCATCATATGTCTACTTTAAGATAAAAATATGTTTTCTGTAGATCTGATGGAGGAAACACCCGAGGTGGCAGCACCAAACCCTCTGGTTGAAAGATTAAAACAAGGAGCAGGTAAAACCCATTTTAAAGTTTTTTTTTTAATTTCCTGTTGGCTTCAACCAACATCCAGAAGTTAGAGTCGATCATTTTGGTTCCTGAATGACCTTGTTTACTTGTTCTGACAACCTGACGTCCTTGTTATCCCAGTGCAGAGCGCCCCTGCTGATTCCCATGGTAAAAACCTCTTGATCATGTGGAATGTGCATCGTACATGTTTGTCTGTGTAATGTTTTTTTTTTAACAAAAGCATCCAAATTCTCCTCTGTAATGAATCAAATGTATGTGGAATGATTTGTATGGATTCCCCTCTCAAACTTCAGCCTTGATCCAGGAAGCATGTCCACTAATCAGATCTATTTGCATGAGCCGGAGTGGTTTCCTCCAGCACATCTGACCCATTCAGGACTGTTTCTCTGCAGCGTGCAACGTTCTCTACATCAACTCGGTGGACATGGAATCCCTGACGGGCCCCCAGGCAGTGGCCAAAGCCATAACCGAGACTCTGACCGCCGCTTCTCCACCGGCCGCCACCGTCGTTCACTTCAAGGTGTCCTCGCAGGGCATCACRCTCACCGACAACCAGAGGAAGTAAGGCCGAGTCCGCCGACACGACAACRGCACGTCCGAAAACCTCGTTGTTCAACAGAGAGAATAATCTGTTTGTCGACTTGCTTCCCTTCTAGGCTTTTCTTCCGGCGCCACTATCCCACCAACACYGTCACTTTCTGCGATACGGACCCTCAGGACAGGAAGTGAGCACAGAAACAAACATTCAACATACAATTACCTGTTTTTTAAAAAGAAACTGCTTGAATTTTTCTGACTTTTTTTACTTTAACAAATCCATGTAGGAAAATTTTAAGTTTTTCTGTCTTGTGTGACAAAATACAACAAAAAGCCTGTTTTCTATATTGTCTACAATGTATTAATGCACACTGGATCACAAGTGTGGAGGACCGAAACTGACAGGAAATATCTAAATGGACCAATAAATAAATAAATGCACTTAAAAACCACCAATTAAATTAAAAAAGGAGAAATTTACCTCATGTTTTATAATTTAATTGATCTTCATATTTATTTTTCCAGCTTAGTTAC